AAAATGAAACTATTGCAAGTATTCAGTATTGCTTTATGATGTAGCAATATCTTTTGAGAGAAATCGTCGGTAATTAAAAATTCTCAAAATTTCATTCTTTCATTCGGAAGGAATTTAATTAAAAATTTTATTAAAAATTTTATTATCGTGAAATATTATTGAAATTGCCTTATTCGCTCTACGTTTATCACGCGGTATTGTAACATCGATATTTGTTCTCCTCGATATCTGCAAGCGCAAGGCAGTATAACGTTGCATAACGCTTATATTCGATGGGTGACGCGAAACGATAGCGAGGTGACACGATACCGTGCGACACCGCACCGTATCTCCTGTGTTACGTGACAAATTAGCCACGTGCGATTTGGCGGCACGTGCCGGCACATCTCTGCCTTGCTTTATAATTGGACTTTTATCGCAAAAATCGAGAGATTCTTGCTACGGCAAAACGTGTTGCACAACGATACTCTAGGAAAGTAAGTGTGAAGAATTTGTGTTGCAATAGCACACATCCGTTATACTGACGTGCTAAATCGGACGTCACTTCTTTTGCCTTCTTTCAAACTGCGCTGCTTTATGTAACTCAGGATAAATAAAAATAATAACGATTGAAATTATCAGATGAATACATAATGAATAATACATGAATATAACAATGTAAATTCTTCGAATAACACAAAGTTAAATGTCATTTGAAACGTTAGAGTGTTTCAAGTTTTCTTACATTTAAATATTGTCATAAAGCACACATAAAATTGTTATTTGTTTTACTGTTCATTTATTCAAATTTAAATTGCCGAATCTCTGAAATTTTTGAAGACTTTAAAGGTTTTCCATTTCTCGTCACATTGTGAATTTTTCACGGCGTTTCTTTGGACGGTTTATTACATTTTCTGAAGATGAGGGTTGAATGTTCATAATGGGTGTCGCTTGTGCGCGACGCTGCTTAAGATATTGTAATGTTATTCATGAATGACGAGACAACGGCAGTACTTGTCTGCCTTTTTTCCCCTCTTTTTTTCACGTGGCCGAGACACGCGATCGCCCGCCCACTAATCTGCAGTTGCACAATCGCAATACACAGGAAATGTCGTGTCGCGTAGCGAATCGTGAATCGCGAAACTCGTGATGCGCGTCACCGGTGTTCCGTAGTATTTAAACAATCGTAATTCAAATCGATGCGATTACGAATGCAATCAATCTGATTCTGCGTGATAATGAGCGGTTCATCGTGATCGCGTTTCGATTGACCGCAATCGCATCGATTATACAATCGCGTGTGACGTGGATACGAAAGGATATAGCAATTTAGGAAGATTTTAGAAGAAGATACTAGTATCGAAAGCGAAACGAGTAAGCGATATAGTTTGAAAGTAAAAAGCTACAATAAAGATTTAAATTTTGAGACTTTTTTTGAACTGGATTTTTACATAAATTAGAATAGACGATAGAAATAACAATAAATCAATTAGAATGTAGAAAAAAGCACAGAAAAATTATAAAATATATAATAAATAATATATAAATGTAATAACACAATTCCACGAATAACATTCAATTTCTCAGTTACCGATACGAGCCACAAAATAAAAAAAGCCGCGTTTTTGTGTCGCATTTGAATCTTCCTGCGGCCTGTTTTTGTAGCGATACAAGCACTAGAATTATAAGGAGGCACTTACACGCGTGTCATTCACTTATTCATGCTTTTACGCATTATCGTAACATCGCTCGACATCCTTAATACTGCCTGCGTGCATCGTAAAGTAAAAAAATTATACGATACGTAATGAATGCACGCGGCTTTTTGTTATTATGCACGAATACACTAATTCAGCCGCGAGTTGAGAGAAGATCGAAATTACGAAAATAATATCCGGTCGTGAATAACAAGTTATTATTACGGGTATGTAAAATTCCGCCACTTTCGGTTAAGTAATGGGCGCAGTCGTTTCGTTATCGTTTGCGTCACGCGTGAATATGCATAGTGCATGCATATGCAATGGCAGTCTTCGTAGCACAGATGCATAAAAAGAGTGTGAAGTTATTTACAAAGGATGACCTTGAATCAGAAGTTATGGCAAAAAGTTGCATATTATTTGCGCCATGCCCTTTGTGACGACGAACGCTTGCGGCACTCTGAAACGTTCATTTTTTCTCGCGTATCATGCAAATGCCATCTTCTCTATAAACAAAATTTACTTAATCCTTATTATGCCTCAAGCTCTACAATGTGCAGGCTAGACGGAATGAAATCTTTATTCATAAAACACGGTTAGGTTAGGTGTCGCGCCGCGAATGCTTTCTGTTCCGTCATTCATTAGAAACTTAATTATTTAATTGTTGCAAATAACATTTTAATTCGTCGATAAAGCAAATCGATTTCAAGTCGTTTTATAAGCACATATCATTTTTTTATTACTCGCTGCAGCATAAAATTACTTTTTTAGTGTATAATGTAATTATCATTTCCACAAACAGCGTAATTTACTTTATCTTTATTGTGCCTCAAGTTCTACAATTCTAATGTGTACAGGTTAGACGAAATGGAATCTTTATTCATGAAACGCAATGTTACATTGCGAATGATTCCTGTTTTGTCATTTGTTACAAGAAATGTCATTATTTAATTGTGAAATTATAATTGATAAATAATATATTAGTTTGTTGAGAATATTTCTAAGGAGATCAATTTTAAATTATATATTGAGTATCGTTTTGTAAACGCATATTTAAACGAATTTTTACATTACTCACCGTAGCGTAAAATTGCTTTTTTTAATGTATCATGCAAATTTTTTTTTTTTTTTTTTTTATGAACAACGAAATTTATTTAATCCTTATTACGCTTCAAGTTTTACAATTCTAATGTGCATAGGCTAGACAAAATGGAATCTTTATTCATGAAGTACGGTGTCGCATTGCGAATAATTTCTGTTTCGTCATTTAATTGTCAGAAATTTAATTATTTAATCGTCGCAAATAATATGTTACTCCGTCAAATTCTAAGAATTCTAATTTTAAATCGTTTAAAATTCAAATTACATTTCTCGTCGCAACGTAAAATCGTTTTTTTTCTCTATATTTTATGATATTTATCTGTATTCAGTTTAAGCGCGCACAATATTGAAAAATGTATTATACATCTTTTCAGCGAATCGCTCTTTTTTCCCCTACACGCTCTTCCCTTTTCGCCGATCGCGCGCTTGTTCGCAGTCGTCTGATTTTCAAGGAGTTAAAACGCGCACAAAGTAACACCCAGCGAAGTCGGATAGCCCGCGCACTCGCGCGGAGATATTGCGCGAATTCCGGCGCGATTGGCCCGTGTGCATAGCGT